AACTCTTTATGCAAATTTGGGCACAATTTCGACTGTTTTCATGACCCCATTGTTGGTCTTCTTGTTCAAGTTGTTATTTTAGCTAAAGTATGTTTCAAACGACACGAGATTGTGTGTATGTGACCTTTTTTGACCTTTTTGGCAAGAATACTTTGAGTATTATGCACCAGTCAATGTAAACCCCCTTTTGACTTTGAGGGGTAGCAAAAGAGCAAAATTGTCCCCGCCCCGGGGAAAGGATACTTAGCCAATGTCCCTGCATGTCTCTGAACCCCAGGAAAATACTTTTGTATATTTCATAGATCAGCAATAGAATATCAAATTAATTTGTTATTGTATTTAAAACTTTTCTTGTAGTAAAAGAAAACTAAAATAGCAACACATGATATATGTGTCGTCAGCCTCTTAGCATAATTGCCTAACTCATTTTTGGGCCAAAATGTGTTTTTTTTGCCAAATTCATTATTCTGTAATCAGTTGTTGCATATGCTGCAAAAGTGCCTATCTCATTAACATCATGCCATAAACAACATTTGCCTATGTCACGAGCATGTTTTGGTTTGCATAAAAATTTTTTTTTTCTGTTTTTCTCAAAACGTAATGCAATTATTGTAAGAGGCTGACGATGTTAACTATTGAAACCGGAACTAAAACAACAACATAAGATTCAGTTTATAACCCATATATGCCATCAATACAACAGGGGCCAGTTGTTCAGCTGCTAAGGTTATTCGTAGCTCAGGGATAACACCTATCACAACAAAAGCATCATGTGCGCTCACAATTTGAATAACAAACAATAATACACAATATGCGGTGATATTACGACTTCAGAATCATTGTCAAACCGTTGCAAATTAAACCTTGAGCACACACAAGATGCCTTAATTTGTTCGGCGTTCTAGCACTAATCAGACTTTGAACAACTGACCCGTGCTGTTCAACCTATTTGGACAAGCACACTCCGCAAAACCAGTCCCCTTCTGGAATTGTTTCACCGTCTAAGCCAACACACTTGTAGTGATACCACTGAAACCTGCATTCTTTTGCATCACAGCCAATCATAAAATCATCATCGTGCTTTCCACAGGGACAAAACGTGGATCTCCTATAGCACGCAAAATAATAGGAATTAAAAGTTTATTTCACATTTTTACTGTATATTCCGAAATGAAAAAGGGCGAAATAGGAGATGGATGACATGCAGTTTCCTTTAACAGAAGTATCTTACCAGTATCTCCAGTATGTTTCTTTGCGGCTCTGGTCGCTGCTGCCTTTACTGCACCCATCTTTCTGCAACGCCCCTTAAGTGGCCGAACCACATCTTCACCTCGTCCAGGCTAAGTAGAGTTTCCTGTGCACATCGTTCCATGATGCTGACAGGAATCTTTGAGTGGTCTTTCAATTTTGAAAACTCCGCTTTTAAGAAAGCCGACGGCGGCTGAATTTTTTGATTATCTATGGGCTGATCCATAGCAAGTCCAATGCATTCTTCTGCTTTAAGGTAGTGACCTGAACAAAATGTCCCTTTGCACTCATTGCATTTGCCGCCCCATGGTCGTTTGGGGTCCTTCACAGGCATGGGGATAACAGATAGGATCGGGCCATCATCAAACCACTTAGGTTCAACA